GAAATTTGGCTTAGCGTACTGAATTAGGCCTAGAATGATGTGTGCCAAGTTTCGAGGAAATCGGTTCAGATTTCGATATAGTTCTCATATATATTTTCGTCCGATTTAGGGTAAATGGTGCACCAAAGTCCCTATATATCTACCGATTTGCACAAAATTTGGTATAGCGTAACGAATTAGGTCTAGAATGATGTGTGTTAAGTTTCCTGAAAATCGGTTCAGATTTAGATATAGCTCCCATATATATATTTTCGTCCGATTTAAGGTTAATGGTGCACCAAAGTCCCGGTATAACTTATGATTTGGACGAAATTTGGCATAGCGTAATGAAATAGGTCTAGAATGATGTGTGCCAAGTTTGCTGTAAATTGGTTCAGGTTTAGATATAGCTCCCATATATATTTTCTTCTGATTTAAGGTAAATGGTGCACCAAAGCCCCTGTATATCATTCGATTTGCACGAAATTTGGCACAGCATAATAAATTAGGTCTAGAATGATGTGTGCATAGTTTCGAGAAAATCAGTTCAGATTTAGATATAGCTCCCATATATATTTTCGTCCGATTTTATGTTAATTGAGCACCAAACTCTTATTGTTTGTCCGATTGACACGAAATTTTGTACAACACATCATATCTTCCATATATACTTCGAACTGGTGTTTGATTGAGATTAAATTTTTAATCGTGCTACGATATTTTTAATGTTAGGATTGTTTATATTTAATAAATAATAATTTATATTTTATTTTTTTTTCTTTTCAGCAAAAACCAATCTTCTAAATATTCAACAAATGTTTTGAAACAAAACTACCTCAAATATACAAGATTATAATAAAAAACAACAGCGTTTTATAATAACTACAAAAAATAATATTAAAAAAAATTACAACAAAAAACTGTCTAATATTTTTATCAACAACAACTAAAAAACTGAAAAACATCTGCAGCGTACCACAATTGTAAGTATTGGAGGAAAACCAACACTGAAAACCTTGTAAAATAAAACAGCAACCTCACCTATGCTGATGATGATGATTTGTTGGCTTGCTATATAAAAAAATATAAAAAACAGCTGAAAAAGAACAGCAACAACAATAATAATAATAAGAAAAACCAGCAACATTGGCCCACAGACCAAAAAACCAGCTGATAAACCAGAAACCAAAACAAAACCCACACATAGGTATATAAAATAAAACAACTTTACACAGTTGTGTCCCCCCTTTCTGTGGAATACCCACACACAGACACACACACCTTTTGGGTGTTGAACACACCTCTCTTCTAACATATGATTTGAAAATTAATTTTATTCTGATTTTTTTGAAATTTATGTGTGCTGAAATTGAACGAAAAACAAAAAAATAATTATTACAACATTTTGAAACAACAACAAAAATCAAATTTGCAGTAAAACGTGAGGTTGAACTGCCTGTATTTTTTTATATAAAAATTCTAAACTGCATCTACTTCAAGTTTGCTTGATCATTCCAAAAGCAAATAGTTTCCTATTTAAGCACAGCAACAACTCAAACGTTGTAAAAACAACAACAAAAATTCACTTTTTTTCAAATATAATTATGTGTGAATAAAGTGTAGAAGAAAAAAATAAAATAAAAAATAATAATAGTAGTAGCAACATTTAGATTCACCTTGAAATCGCTTTTAATTTTTTTTCCATATTTTTTTGTTGCTTTGCCAGCAGCAGTGTTTCTCGTATGCTCTGCTGAAACTAATCAGACGCAACGACCCAACAGCCAACAATCTGCCAGTCAGCCAGCTAACCCAAGCAACCACCGACCAAGTTTATTTGTGTGTGCAGTTCCAAAGGCAAGACAGTCAGCCAAACAGCCAGCCAGCCAACCAGCCAAGCAATTGTGCGAGCTTAGAAAAATAATTATAAAAAAATAACAACAACAACATCACCACTTCAAAGCCAAGCCAAACCAGCCAGCAATTAAAAAAAAAATCAAAAGAAACCCCCAGCTGTGGTAAATCGAACACCGCCAACAGAAAAAATCAGCAATAACAACAACAATTTCAAAATCCATCCAAGAAAAAAAATAATTTGTTTTCAAAACAAGAATTTTTTTCAAAAGGATATTCAATATCTGCCCGCCCACTGCTGTGTCCTTTGAATTAATCCCCGCCCCCCAAAAGGATAAGAGATTTAAGCTAATTTTTTATAAATATAAGTGACTTAGCAGAGAGAAAAAAACAACAACAACAAACCACCAGTAGATTTTTTTTAATGACAACAACAACAAGTAAAACAACTACCTCAGGAACGAAACAACAACAACTATAAAACAATTTTTATAATATATATTTTTTAAACTGCAACGAAGGAAGCAAAGCAAATAAAAAAAATCGAAACCACCAACACCACCACAACAACAAAAAATATATATAAAAACCAGGAAAACAACACAAATCTACATTTAAAACTAAATAAAAAAATAACAAAAACAACAACAACTATTATATATACACACAGCAACAACAGCAACTTACTCCTCTGGGTCTGACTCAACATTTGAGAAAGAAGCAAAAAAAAAAAACGAAAAAAAAAAATCTAAAATTATTACTCATACAATACAACCCCAACAACAACAACAGCGGCAACCCAAAACCAAGTTGGAAGTAGCAGCAGAACATTAACAAATGTTCAACACCACCAATAGTTTGTAAAGGTTTATTTCATACCTAAAAAAAAAAGACCAACAAACACTGCCCAAGGAGACTCATTTTTTGGCTAGAGCTCTTCGTAAGAAAAACACAACAACAGCAACAACCAGGGATTCCAAAACAACAACGAAACCCCCAGCAGAGCCAAGTCAAACATTCAACCAGACAGACCTCAAGTTTTTTAGCTGAAAGTAATAACAAAATAAAATATTTACAACAACAACAAAGTTGAAAAAATTAAAAACAACAACAAAAAATCAAATCGAAACAATTAAAGAAAAAAATTCGACGATAAACCCACATTTTTCAAGGAAAATAGCAATTTCACTCAATTCTACAAGAAATCACTCAAGTGAAAAATCATTAAATTTTTGGAAAACTAATAACAAACAATCACATAAAGTGAAAAAAATAAGAAAAATACAAAATTTTCAATTTCACTCAATTTTTCAAAAAATCACTCAAAAATTTTTTTGGTAAAAATCAATGAAAACGAAACAAATTGTGTAAAAATCAAGTGAAAATAATAAAAAATTCAAAAATTGCAGTGAAAATCGCAAAAATAAAATTTCACTCAAACTAAAACTTAAGTGAAAAAAATTAAATTTCGGAAAGTTCGTTTAAAATTATATTAAAATAAAGGATTTTAACATAAAAACAATAAAAATCCTAATTTTTTTAACAAAAATTAAAAAATATAGATTTTCACTCAAAATAAAACTCAAGTGAAAATCATAAAAGAATAATTCGCGTTAAATAACAGTGTGTAAAATAAAACAAATTGTCTTGAAAATAATAAAAATACCGGTATTTTTCGTAAAAAAACGCTAAAACAACATTTCACTCAATATAACACTCAAGTAAACAATTTCTCAAATAATTACATTTCGGACAAAAAATCGTGTACAACTGTGTTATATCAAAAGATTATAATAAAAAATCCATAAAAAAATCCCAAAATTTGTAATAAAAATCAATGTAATACATTTTCAATCAAAATAACACTCAAGTGGAAATTGATAAAAATTAAGAGAAAATCAATAAAATTTTATCCGAAACCTGATAAAAGCATTAGAACCCCCATTTAAAAACTAATTTTGCAAATTTCACTCAAAGTTTAAGTGAAAAAAAAAAACTCAAAAGATAAGTGTCCAAAATTAAAAAAAAAATAATAAACTAAATTTGAAAAGAAACCATAAACGGGAACAGAATTATGCAATATGTTTGTGTTTCACTCGAAATTAAATTGAAAAAAAACACTCAATTGGAAATTCAACAATATAAGTGAATTTAAACTATTTTGTCAACAAATCGTCTAAAAAAAACTGAAAATTGTTGTGAAAGTGAAAAATATTCATTACACTCAAAGTTGAAGAGAAACACTCAATTGCAATTTTACTAAAAAGTCACAGATTTGAACTATTTTTTACGGAAACTCATCTGGAATCACAGGAAATTCCTGATAATTTCCTAAAATCAGTTTCACTCAAATTTATGGAAAATCACTCAATTGAAAATTGTTAAAAAATAAGCGGATTTCAATCAAACTAAACGGAAAAATAGTTATTGAGCCTTAAAATAGCTGAAATTCACCTAAAAATCAATTTCACTCAATTGGGAAAAAAGTCACTCAAACTGGAAAAAGTTGTAGAAATTTGCAAAAAATTCGAAAACAACAATAAAATTGATTAAAATCGATTAATGCAACAATTGGCCATCATTTTGAGAAAATAAAGAATAAATATTGAAATATTGGCACCAAAAGGAAAACCACTCAAACGAATCTTCCGGAAATTTGTACAGTATTAGTTCGAAAATCACTTCAAAACTGCAACGTAACTAAAAAAAGGATCTCCACATATACCATTCTACTCAACCAAAGTGATAGGAAGAAAAGTATTTTTTTTTTGAGTGATTAATAAACGAAGGACCAAATACATCACAGTAACAAAAGTATTACAAAAAATTGGCATACATACATCACTCCAGAGCAAATGTTATCATTGTCTAAACCATCGGATCTGACATTGCAACTTCTACAACAACCATGAGCGTTGTAAACATATTGAAACGCAAATTACAACAAAACCACAACACCTTTAAGACTACAACAATCACATTGAAGAGTTAAACTCAACCAACAACAACAACAACAAAAGACTACAAAAAATTCAACGAAACTTCCATTTGTGATCTCCAAAAAAAACCCAACTCAAACATTTTTTTGAAGAGGGAATTTTTAAAACCCCCGACTCAAAAAACCCACCTTAAGTTTTTTGATATAAAAAAAAACACTCACACCAACAACAATGATTTGTGAATCAAATCCTTTGAATGATTTTCAAGACGAAGACGAATCTGTACAACAACACAACCAACATCTACATCCGCTGCACACCCTAACCTATGCCAGTTTCCCCAATGAAATTACCCTAAATACGATTGATTTGGAACAGGTACCAATTGAGGAACTCATCGAGGAGGATATGAATGAATTTATCGAGGTGATAGAGGAGAACAAGCAACAACAACAGGAACGCGTAGAGGAGGACGGAGATAAATTTAGCCGCTGCTTTTATAAATTCCAAGAGGAACAACAGCAGCAAGAACAAGAACAACAACAACTACACCACCAGGAATTAAGTGATATTCTGCTAAGAGATGATGATGATTTTCTGGTAGAAACAACAAAAGAAATTATAACGACAACAGAAGTGGAAAGAGACGTTGAAGAGGACCACGAAAACTACCAACCAGCCTCGGCCGCCGCCGAAGAGGAAGAACTTGACGAAGTTGAGGTATTTTTAAGCCACCATATAGGGCAAGAAACAGATCATAAGGAAACAGTAACAGAAATACAAACAACAACAACAACGACCTCTGCATTGAAACAGCAACAGAAACGTAAAGGCAAAACGTCGACAGCGACGTCAACGCCAAATATTACTCATGCAAAATTGACTACAACAAAGGCAAGGCAAACACAACAACAACAGCAATCATTGACAGCTGCTGGCATATGTAAAAAATCCAACAACAACATCATTGTTATTAACAACATTCACAACAACAGCAGCAACAGTAACAGCAGTATCATAAGCACCCACAGCACGAACAGTAGTATTGTCAGCTTAAGCAATAACAACAACAATTCGAGCAGGATCTCCAACAACAACCAGAATAAAATACAACAAAACCAGCAACAACAACAATTAAATTATTTATTGAATAACAGCAGTGCTTCGGCCAGTCCTTTGAGTAGCAGCAACAGCAGCTTTGCCGGGGATGATAACAACGGTCTAAGTCCGAGCAGCAATAATACAATTAATATCAATTTTGAAAATAATTTAAATATTTTGAACGCAGAGGAATTTCTGAATCTAAACTCCACAACAACAACAATGAATAACAACAACAACAGCTTTAAAATGGAACAGCAACAAAACTCCACAACAACAAATATGCAGCATTTACAACAGCAATCACCACAGCAACAGGAGCATGTTATTTTCGGCTCGCAGAGAGTTAATCTGAACTCAAGTACCCCATATTCGGATGCCACCAGGGTAAGTCCATTACACGCTTAATTTAAATATATAAAAAATACAAAATGAATAAGAATATTAAAATATAAATATATTGGGAAATTGTCGAAAAAATCTATTTCACTCAAATCTCGCTAATAATCACTCAATTGAAAACTGTTACAAAATATGGGGATTTAAAAATTTGCTGAAAATCGCCAAGAAAGCCAATTCACTCAAATTTGAAGAAAAACACTCAATTGAAAATTGTTACAAAATATAGAGATTTACAAACATTTTGAACGGAAACCCATTTTCAATGTCATAAAATTGCTGAAAATCAACAAAAAATCACTTTCACTCAATTGGGAAAATTTTCACTCAATCTGAAAAACGTTGTAAAAAGAGCAAAAAAAAAAAAAAAGAAAAAAATCAGGAACATAGATTAACTATTGTTTCTGTATGTTTGTGTTAAGATTCCTCAAAAATTAATAAATATATATTTTTTAAGAAAAGCACTCAATTGCAATTTTTACCAAAAACTCGTAAATTCCAAGGATTTTTAAAGGAAAATATATTTATTAGCACATGAAATTGTGGACACATATCTAAAATGACAGGAAATTGCAAAAAAATTGTGCAAATACCTATTTCACTCAAATCAGGGAAAAATCACTCAATTGAAAATTGTTAAAAATATGTGTATTTTTAACATTTTGAAAGTGGAACCCTGTTTTCATGCCAATAAATTGCTTTAAATCGTCAAAAAATTCATAACACTCAAATGGGACAAAAGTCACTCAACGTAAAAAAAGTTGTAAAAAATTGCAAAAAAAATCAAGAATATTGATTATGTCAATTTGGAATAAATAACACAAAAATTATATATGTAAGTGTTGTAGGAACCTTACAAAAAAATTAATAAATATTTTTTTATAAAGAGAAACACTCAATTGTCATTTTTACCAAAAACTAGCAAATTCCAAGGATTTTTTATATGAAAACCTATTTATAAGCATAGGAAATTGCGGAAACATATCTATAGTGGCAGGAAATTGAAAAAATGGTCCAAAAATCAATTTCACTCAATTTTTGGCAAAAATCACTCAAATGAAAAATTTTCAAAAATAAGTGGTTTTAAACAATTTTGAAAGGGAAATTAATTTCCAAGTCAAAAAATTGCAGCAAAATGTCAAAAAAGCAATTTCACTCAATTGTGAAAAAAAGTCACTCAATCGTTTTAACGTTGTAAAAATTGCAAAAAATTAAAATGTCAAGAATGCCAATATTTTGAGGAAATAATATAAATAAACTATGTATATTAGGGTGCTGTGGAAATCATTAAAAATTTTTGAAAACTAGTTTTCAAAAATTTCTCATATGCCTATTTTTTATGTTTGCACACATTTCAAAAAACGATTTTTTTTTAAGAATACTTATAACTCAAAAAAATTATTTTTTGTTATTATTTTTGAACTTTATGCAAACCTAATAAAATGTGTATATAAATACAGTCACAAGTGTTTGTATGTATAGTTGTATGAATAATCAAAAAACTTTTTTAATAAACATTTGTGCATTTTTCTATATTTACACTCAAACATGCACACACACATCGATATGTATATGGACAACATATATTTGTGTATATATTAAATTATATATTTACATTTGAAGCCAAGCAACCACTTCAGTATGTATTGAAATATATACATGTCTACACATATCCCCCTCATAGATATTTATTAGATATTCTCATTTTTTTTCAATTTTTTATATCTCCACTCCCTTTTGAAATTTTGTCGTCGTCGTCGTTGATATTTTCGTCGCCACTTTCCTCCTCCTAAAAAAAATTAAAGCAACAACACTAAACTATCCAACGTCGCCAATCAGCCACTCTATTCCAGCCAGTTGGCTTGGCTGTCTAAGCTATTTTTCAGTATTTAAACAGAATTGAAGTTTTTTTTTTCGATTTTTGTATATTCGAAGCTTTAAATTTAAAGGAATTAAGCACAGTGGATGGAAATTGGAAAAAAAAATTCGAAATTAATTAAAAAAATTGAACATAAAAATTAAAAAAATAAAGGAAATGTAAGGAAGAAAATTAAAGAGATGGACACTTGAGAATATGCACAGAATCACATTCTGAGCCGGTTTATGCATGTCCGTCCGTCTGTTTGTCCATGTTGAATTGTAAACTAAGTACAGTTCGCATTTATGATCCGAATTGAATGAAATTTGGTACAGTTCATTTATTTGGCCCAAGGACCAACCCTATTGAAATTGGGAAAAATCGGTTCAGATTTAGATATAGCTCCCATATAAATTCTCGTCCGATTTTATGTAAATGGTTCAGCAAAGTCTCTATATTTCTTTTGATTTGCCCGAAATTTGGCATAGTGGACTCAATTGAGTCTAGAATGAGGTGTTCTAACTTTCGTGGAAATCGGTCCAAATTTAGATATAGCTCCGTATATATTTTCATCCGATTTTATGTAAATGGTAAAAAAAAATCCCTAAATATATTTTGATTTGCACGAAATTTGGCATAGCGTATTGAATTGGGTCTAGAATGATGTGTGTTAAGTTTCGTAAAAATCGGTGCAGATTTAGATATATCTCCCATATATATTTTCGTCCGATTTAATGTAAATGGTGCCCCAAAGTCCCTATATATCTTTCGATTTGCACAAAATTGAACATAGCGTACTGAATTGGGTATAGAATGATGTGTACTCAGTTATATGAAAATCGTTTAGTTTTAGATATAGGTCCCATATATATTTCATTCCGATTTAATGTAAATCGAGCACAAAAGTCCCTATATTTCTATCGATTTGCACGAAATTTGGCACAGCGTAATGAATTAAGTCTAGAATGATGTGTGCTAAGTTTCGTGAAAATCATGTCAGATTTAGATATAGCTCCCATATATATTTTCGTCCGATTTTATTTAAATGGTGCGCCAAATCCTTATATGTCTTTCGATTCGCACGAAATTTGGCAAAGTGCACTGAATCCAGGCTAGAATGATGTGTGTAAAGTTTCATAAAAATCGGTTCAGATTTAGATATAGCTCTCATATATATATATATTCGTCCGTTTGTATGTAAATGGTGTACCAAGGTCCCTACATATCTTTCGATTTGCATGAAATTTGGCATAGTGTATTGAATCAAGTCTAGAATGATGTGTGCTAAGTTTCCGGAAAATCGGTTCAGATTTACATATAGCTCCCCAATATATATTTTCGTCCGATTTGATGTAAATAGGGTATCAAAGTCCCAATATATCTTTCGATTTGCAGGAAATTTGCCATAGAGTACTGGATTAGGTCTAGAATGACGTGTGCTAAGTTTATTGAAAATCGGTTCAGATTTAGATATAGCTCTCATATATATTTTCGTCCGATTTTATGTAAATCGTGCACAAAAGTCCCTTTATGTCCTTCGATTTGCTCGAAATTTGGCACAGTGTACTGAATTCAGTCTAGAATGATGTGTGCAAAGTTTCGTGAAAATCGGTTCAGATTAAGATATAGCTCCCATATATATTTTCTTCCGATTTTATGTAAATCGTTCACTATAGTCCCTATATATCATTCGATTTGCACGAAATTTGGTACAGTGTACTGAATTGGGTCTAGAATGATGTGTGCTAAGTTTCGTGAAAATCATTTCAGATTTAGATATAGCTCTCATATATATTTTCGTCCGATTTTTTGTAAATCGTTCACTATAGTCCCTATAAATCGTTCGATTTGCACAAAATTTGGCATAGAGTACTGTATTCAGACTAGAATGATATGTGCAATTTTTTTTTATCGGTTCAGATTTAGATATAGCTCCCCTATATATATTTTTCGTCCGATTTTATGTAAATGGTGCAGCAAAGGCCCAAAGTTTGCACTGTACTAAATCTTACAGGAATTTTCTATTAAATTATGAAATTTCATATAAAATGTACTTTTTTTATCCCGTTTTAAAACACTGTGCAGTCGTATTAAATTCCTCTTGTCTTCAATTTCCTTCCAAAACACACACAAAAAAAAAAAAAACAAAATAAAATTGAAATAATCCAGCAAAAATTAAGCAGCAACAACAACAACGACAAAATTATGGGGAACACCAATAACGAAATAAAAAATAATAACAACAACAAAAACCACAACAAAACTCTATTATGCATTATAAAATTAAAGAAGATGAAACAGTCTGGAGTTGGTGGAGGCAAAAGAATACTAAAAACCGTCTGATTGCAATTGGCTGGCTGTCCGAACGACGATGTCTGTGAACTTTTTATTATTTCTACTCGTAGTTTTTGTTGTTGTTGCTGGCTTCTTCCTTTCAATTTGCTGCGTTTCGACGACGACAACAACAACAACAACAAATGAGCAACACTTAACAACACTGTTGTAACGAGATTGTAACAAAAATGCATTAGTGACGAACGTGGGTCCGCTTGTCCGTCTGTCCACCAGTCACCACCGCCACCACATTCATGACAGTTTTTCACTCACGCTTTTCCTTAATTCAAACACCCATACACACACACACACTCTCACATACGCATTTTGTTCGCCGGACATTGTGTTCGAAGCTATTAACCATGAATCATAAAAAAAAAACTATTTGTTTCTGACCATGCTTAGAGTCTTCCTTGTTGGTGTTGTTGTCCGACGATTTTTTTATGACTTTCATAAAGAAAGCGAAGTGTGAAAAAACCCATCATCATCCTTTTGAAAAAAATGTTGACGACGAAGAAGAAGAGTGCGACTAGACTGACTTTGATTCCATGCACATGACCATGTCCAATTGAGGTATTGGAGTAGTGGTTTGTCAATGATATTTAAAATGTTTCCTTGTGGTGGTCAAGCAAGGTTGGTTGCAGTGTGGAATAGGGGATCTGGGCGGAATTTTTGTTTCCTCAAGTCACTCAAAATGACTTCCCATGTGAGTTAGTCGTTCGTTTGTCTGTTCATTTGTTGTGTTAATCGTTTTTTGGGTTCTAAAAACTAAAGCAGAGCTATAATCATAACAACA